ATGTAGATACCTACAATATTTAATTTAAAATTTAGCGGGCTTTTCTTTATAATTGTACTTAAATTATTATAACTAAAATTTTGCATTTTAATTGGCATTTTTTGCAACATACACAAGATGCGAGATATAACAAAATGCCAACCAAAATGCAAAATTGTAGGACATAATTTTAGGAAGGGTAAAATAAAGGCAATACAAATTTTTAAATAATTTTATTACCTGAATATTAATTAAAATTCTCAAGAAAAATAAACAAAAAATATATAATAAAATAAAAGCAATATAAAAATAATGATACCTATATTTCTCCCCCTTACAAGAAACCCCTAAAAGTAGAGCTTGTGTGGGGGAGGGATGGCTATTATCATTATTATTATTTGCTGTGGCGCTCCGGGGCGACTTACAGATGACTGATGGTGCCATTTGACTTACAGGTGAGGAAAACCCGGAAAACCTCACCCACCATCATTATTTATAAACATATATATATTTGTTTAATACATTCAAAAAACAAAGTAGTACATTTTTTCTAAAGTTTTAATAAAAAATAATCCTAATATCACAAAATTATTATCTCTAAAGTTTATCTATTAATTGTTATTTATTTAAAGTTTATCTAATGAGTTTTGTTTCTCTAAAGTTTACCTACAGAATTTTACTTAGTTTCAATACAAAATAATAATTCTAATATCACAAAAATTTTATTTCTTAAATTCGCCTAATGAATTTTGCTTAAGTTTTAATAAAATATAATTCTAATATCACAAAAATGATATTATCTTAAGTTTATCTAATGAAACTGGTTTAAAAAGTTAATCTAGTACCTACTTGAAAAAAAAAATATCTATGCATTATCTTTAAAACAATTATTATAATATCACAAAAATCACATTATTATGTACGTGTACTATCTTTGGTTAAAATAAATATCATACTAACAGCGGGTTGCAGGAACATTCATTAAAATTTAGTAGCCTGATAAACGTTGAAAGATATTTGGACTGAATAATTTGAAGTTCACGTAACTAAGATATATCATAATTCATAATTTTTAATGGATCTACTTGCAACCGGCTGATTGTATAGTAAATAATTTAATTAACTAAATAATAAAACTAACTTCTAATAAATTTTCTAAATCAACAAAATTTTAATAAAAACAAAAAACAAAACAAAACTTCTTTTTCTTTAATAACACACGTGAAAGAGAACCATCAACATAACCTGAAACAAAAAAAAAAATTAAACGCAGTAACTTAATATCATTTTGATTTTCTTTTTTGCCTTTTAGACATTGCCAAAGCCTTCATACTATCATTGTAATATTTTCTAATTACTAATGGTACACAGGTTTTGACTAAATGAGAAAAGATATCTGTTTTATGTTCTTGACATGTAAACCATTCAAAATCAACATGGTCTCTCAAAAAAAATTCAATTTTCTGAATTATATTTTCAATATGGCCCAAAAGTGGCAAAACTGTATAAATAATTTCATGAATCTTTGAAATAAATTCTATTACATTTCTTTGTACATAAATCAGACGTCTTTTATCATCATTTTCTTTAAAATAAGTAAAAGTATGATGGTCCTCTAAAATATCTGTTTGCAAATTAGCCAGACATTCTTTACAGTCAAAACTATTGATTTTCTTAACAACAAACCCTGCGACATAGCTAGTGGCCTGACTCTCAAATTCTGAATCAATTAAAAATTCTGTATTAGAAAAGGTTAAATTTAAATTTTCCAGCTCATTATTATCACAACATATTAATGCTTTTGGTTCTGTAGAAACATTTAAAAATGAATTTAAATTATCTAAAATGCTTGTTTCATCAGCTTCACAATTGGAGTTGAAATTCCTCGATGAAATTAAATTATTTAAAATTGATGCTTTTAAAGCTGAAATAAATTGGTAACAATTTGGAGCCGTATTAGCTGCACCATACTGTCGAATTGTGCCAAACATATTCTCAACCGGATCTTGATTTAAAGCACGGGTTCTGATGAATTTGAATCCCTTTTTCCAACATTCATTCATAAGTAGTTTAACACCCCTAATTGTAATTAACCAACCGGTCTTAAAAGGCATCACCTTTCTCATAGGTTTACCATTTTTTGGTAAAAACTGCCAAGATTCTATTTTTGGCAACATAGAATTCCAAAATTCTAGATGTTTAGATCTCTTTGAAGGACACTGCCTAAGAGATTTACCACCAACGACACTTGGGTTATTACCATTAAGGCTGTCAAACAGCTTATCAATGTCTTCAATAAATTCGGCAGTATAGATAGCCTCAGATGGTAATTTATTAGGCACTATTAGACTTTCAATGGTAGCAGCCATGGTGTGACTCATTACTTTTGCAGCAGCTGAAACTTTCATTTTTAATTTACTATTTCTATTGATATCCAAAAAAGATTCTCTAACTTTATGTAATGCTTGAAATTTTTTAGTTTTATCAAGATAAAAAGCTTGTTTAATATAATTAAATTTAGCACATCTAAAATTATTTTCAAAATAAATATCATAATTAAATAAAGCATTTCTTGAACATTTCAAAAGGTGGGGAGGATCATATAAAGTAATTATCCTTTGTCCATTAACAAAAAAATAAGGACCAGGTTTTTGAACATTATTATCTGCTCGTAATTGTTTCAGTGCTGTTCGGTTTGTATTCCCCAGATCACAAACAGTTGCCATAACATTTAATCCTACTTTCTGTAACTCTAAAATGACTTCTATAAGAATTAGTTTCAAATCTTCAGTTTTAACCTGATCTTTAGTGAAGTAATAAGCCACTGGCTGCTTCCATGCTTTTCGTAAGCCATTAATCACAAAGGCCAGTGCATGATCAGCCGTTTGTAATTTTCTTCCCAAATTTTTACCAAGGTCTACGAACCCTACTACTTTATCACTAGCTACATCCAAAGTTAATTGTTCTGTAAGAGCTATTTCGTCAAACAGTAACACACAGTTCCTATCAATTTGCTTCATTTTAGCAACCCTCTCCTTGAGCCTTTTAAAAATTGATTCATTAATGCCCGTTTCAAATGGCACTGATCTTAAAAGTGACTGCAAAGTGGTTTTACTAGGTAAAGCAATGAAACGTTTTAAAAAATTATAAGCTCTGGGGCCCTTTTTATATAAAGCTAATGACATGACTTTATCAGATGTTGACCAAGAAGGCTTCATCTTTTTTGAATTAGATGTAGTACTTTTTAAAAAGCTCATGCCTACAGGATCGAGCTTTGAATTAAATTCTTGAAAAATCTTTGACTCTGAAATTTTGACTGCATTTTTAACATTACGTTTTGAATTAATTAGGGCCTTCTTTAATTTGCAAATGTTACTTTTCTGTTTTCTATTAATAAAATAAAGTTTTTTCTTTCTAGGAGATAAACTATTGACTCGAGTTTCATTAATTTGATTTAAAAATCCATTATCTAATCGTTGCTTTTTAGGCAGCGATTCTATTTCATTGGATGAAAAACTATCATTGAAATTTTGATTATTAAAATTTAACTTTCTTTTTACAGGTAATTTATTTGGTGGTGTGACAACAATATTACTTAGTACTACTATCTTTGGTGTTAATTGAGGTTTTAAGGGTGCCAATGGCAAAGCAAATCGAATGAGCCTTGACCGATTAGTGTTTGCAAATGATTTTTGATCAAAATGATCTTCACACAATCTATAATGATTTTTTACAAGTGGAATGTTTAATATGTGGCACCATTTTTTTCTTTGCTCAAAATCTGAAGGAAATTTAAAAAAGTGTTTGTTCTTAAAATTTACATCATAAATGGGCCAGTAAAATTTACTATTACAATTTGATATTATGCATTTATTATGAATAGGGCCTGGTAAAGACATGTTAAAGCATCAAAATACTTTTGCTTAATTTTAAATATTCCTAAATTAACTTATGCCTAAAACTTAAAACTAAAATTAAATAAATAAACCTACTCACATGTTTTATTCGGCAACCATAACCATAATGTTTGTTTTTATTGCATCGGGATTGGGAGGCAACTTCAAAGCCAGATTTACATTGCACAAATAATTTAATAAATTCAAGTTTTTTTAAATAATTGTATTAATATACAATTATATAATTTTAAACATTAATTTTCGAGTGTTATTTTTGTTTCTAAGCGAATTATTATTGAATTATTAAATTATTCAGTGTACTTTAAATTTAAATATCATTTTGTTACTGTAAAACGGACTGATATGCGCGGATGTGTTGCGCACTAACCTGTTGATATAACGCGCATATGTTATAAGCCCCCCTGTACCTACCTGCCTAGATAAACCTCTGTGGCGGATCGGGCGGATCTTATTTTTCAATGGGCGGATCGCACTAAGTTCGAGCTTAAGAAATGTGTTGCTTTTGTTTTTCGAAGTTGTTATTGATTTTAATTCAACATGTCGTTATATATTTTTGACTATCTTCAACTTTTCCAAAGAAAAAACCAATTTATCATCATATTTATATCGGAGCGCGATGTGCCACCTATTCCATATTCTCGACTTTGCAACTTTTGTCTTTACGGAAGTCTTTATTGATTACTCTTATCTATTTCTTCTGATTCATAGATGGCGCTTCGCGCTATCCAACTAATTATTAAGAATCATTATCAAAAGCAAATAAAATGTATCGTATCAAAGGCACCGATAAATGTATCTTTTAATCAGTGAAACGGTAAACAAATATTAAGCTAGTAAATACGTATACAGATAAACAAATATTTATTAAATTATTCAGTTCTCTTTCCTTGACGAAACTACAAAGTACTTTCAATTCGATTCATAAGATCAAGAAGTTTGCGTTACCTTGTTTAGTAATTTATATATCTGGTGACAGGGGTTTAATTGTTGACAGCCACTGGAAATGTCATAACAAAATTATTTGACTCAGAAATAAACAAAGAAATTGTGTGGTTTTAGGGGGATTTTTTCTTTTATCTTGAATGAAAATTACCCAGTTGGTGCATTTAAAGGAACTAATGTTAAACGAAAATGAAACATATTGTTGGAAAAGTTGTTCTGCTTGGTTTTCAAGGTAAGATACTATCATACTATTATTATATTAACTCAATGAGTTCAAAAAATATAGTTTTATCAGTTTCTCGAGATTTTTAAGCATATCTGAAAATGAACTCGATAGATATGCAGGATTTATGATTTTAACCAAGATAATTTTAACCAAATAAAAACTGTTAGGTAGATAGTACCTATGTATTTTTTATACCTAAAAATTAGGTATATTATGTAGGTACCTACAAACAAGGTTAATCGAATGAAAGTTTTGTTATATATGTAGATTACCATTACAATATTATAATAATTGCATAAATACATTGCAATAAACATTTTAAATATTAAATCACAAAATTTCTTCTATAGTTACATATATTTTGATGATCAAATATCTTCAAATTTGTTTTCTGTTAATTTTACTAATTTCCATTTGCCGAGGGGCCTAGGGTATTCAACATTAATTGCTTAAAATATTTATAGTGTTCATATCTGAAAGTATGCATGATAAATAACTTTCCAATAAGGTGATTCAGTGCCTCAGCTAGAAAATGCTCAATGGGGACATTTTCTACCTAAATATCACACTATACTTGCACAATAAGTATTTATACTCATTACAACTATTACTTTTAGATTACTATAGACCTTATGGATACAATAAATTTGAAAATAAATGTGTAAGGTGACCAGCCTTCCCAGTTTATCCAGGACAAGTTTAGATTGTTTGCTTACTGTCCTGGGTAAAAGAAATGTCCTGTTTCGTCCCAGTTTTTACAGTCTTATCCGGGTTTTTCCCAGATTTAAACAATCGAAAATAGCTATATTTTTAGACATTGTATAACAACTCTAATATTATGAACTCGAGTGATAATGAATAATCTCCTTAATCGCCTATTACTGTTAGACCAGCAGTGAGATTCTCATCTTTCAATACGACACCTGTTAAGAAGCCTCCATCTTAAGTAATGTCTCTCTCTATTCTACATGTAACATATTGAGTTCGCACACAAGAATCCCTGTACTGGAGAGGTATTTCTTGACAGCTATGTCTCTCTTATGTCATTAGCTAATAATAATTAAATAGATTACTTTCTCTTTTTAGGACAGTCAGTTTCTATTTTTGATTTAAATTGTGCCTGTATTTGTTTTTTTCTGTATTATATTGAATTTATCTATTTTTTGCCCAATTGTTCAAAAATAAAATATATGTATGCAGTCTTATAAAGATAATACATAGGTACATGTAGATATTTCAAAAGTTTCGAAAATAAAAACATATTGTATTAAGAAATAATGCATTTTTTTAAGTGCAACTTCTGTCCCATTTTTGAATTTTCTAAAGTTGGTCAACTTAGCCATGTATCATAAAATAAGTGGAGATACTGTTTTTATCCAGAAAACAACTACTCCTTTAGCTAATATAGGGTATATATTCAGCGCTACTGGCTTTGGAGGCCTAAAGCATTGTTCTGTAAAAGTTTTCTGTTTCATTTCTTTTCTCGATCATTTCCTTCCAGCTTGTATCATATCAGTTTTTCTTTGAATGTTACTTGTATGGAATTTTTTAGTCTTTTTCACTCTGGCTTCCCTGTTTTTTCTTATGTCGGACATAATGAATGCTTGCAAAACCTTTGAAAAAATAATAATAATAATAATAAAAGGTCTTTATTTGTACTGTACAACTACTTGGCGAGATTTTAGCCTGTGTCTATTCTTACACCTAACCCAAAAAATATATGTATAAAGTAATATAAATTATTTAAAATAAATTACCTACAAAGTAATTTTGTATACATGATTTTTGATTAAAGTAGAAAAACATTTTATAAATAGTTTACATAAATCATAGATAATTGCAAGAAGAAGAGTAAAATTTTAAATAATATTTTTGTAACCATAAGAACTGTAATTTTAGAGCATTTTTGAAACTTTCAGCTAAATGTAATTGCTTGAGATTAATATTTAAATTATTGTACAAAAACACAGCGTTATACGAAAAGCTTCTTGTAAAAAATTAAGTGGAGTAGCAAGGCATATTCAAAACAAAATTGTTTCGGATGTTAACATTATGCATTGCTCTTCTAAAAATTAATTTGTTGCAAAGATAAGCTGGTGTAGAGGTAAGTAGTATTTTGAAAAGCATCGAAAGGAATACATATTTGAAGAGATTATTTACATTTAGCAATCCTGTTTAAATGAAAGCATGAGAGATATGATCAAACTTTCTAAGACCATTGACAAATCTACAGCATGTGTTTTGGATAATTTGTAACTGATGACGATTTATTGCAGTTAGAAACGGGTAGTAAATAATGATACCGTAAGTTAGTTTATCTTGAAGAATGAATCTGTTAGAGTAATCTTAATGCACCATAGCACTGAATTGACATGCTTATCAAATCTTAGGGATTCATCAAAGTAAAGGCCTAGGTTTTTTGCTTCGATTACTTATGGAATAATTTCCCCAGATATTCTCAAAACTGCCTTAGATGTAATTTGAAATTTATGACAAAAAATCATTAATTTAGACTTAGATGTGTTAATATGCAGATTATGAGCTAAGGAATACTTATTTAAGTCATGCTTTATAATATTCATGGTACTCTCACATTCATGAAAATAAAAATCTCGAAAAATGTGAGTGTCATCAGCAAGAAATTGTATAGGGCAATTATTAATCTGTTTGTATAAGTCAGATATGTCGGAATACCAAACCAAAATCTTCTTCAAAGATATCACTTTTTAAGCCTCATAAAAAGACGTGAATACCATTGTTATGTGTTAGGTTTCAAAATTGTTAACGGTTTAATTGATTCTCCTAAACTGTTGAGAAAAATTGATATCTGCATTCCGAGAGTATCATCTAGAAATTCTAACCTATTTCACATATCTGTACCTCGCACAAATGTTTTGAAAAATTCCTCCATTTCATACTATTAGCCGCGTTGTGAATAGTGTGAGTAGTGACATTTATATCTTCTCATGCAAACTCAGGGAAATAAAATGTCATTTCCTAACATAAAAAAAAATTGTACTGTATTGTATTTTACCTACTAGCTGTTTACTAATTTTTGTATATTTTGTACCACTTAGTCTATATAATGTATGTGTTCTTTTATTCCTGCTCTGTAATTGGGATTGCCTGTAGAGCATTGTAATAAATAAATAAAATAAATAAATAAATATGTATATTAGAAACAAAAATAGGCCTAAGACAGAGCTTTGAAGTACACCAGATTCAATATGGCTCGAAGAAGACATTTGACCATCCACTAGCACTAACTCAGTGCGGTTACGCAAATAAGTTTTTATAACATTAAGAGACGTATTATCAAATCCACAGTAGGAGCACTTAGCTGCCAGAAGTTAGCGTGTCGAATGCCTTACTAAAGTCCAAAAGAATCAGGATACCAGCTTTGTCATTATCAATGCTCCTGATAAATTAGCAAGGGCAGTTAAGTGCTAAAATCTCTTTGGAAACCTGTATGATGCATTGAAATTATGCCGTTTTGACAAAGGCATTCATATATTTGAAAATAAGCGGCTCTTTCCAATATTTTAGAAATAGTGGGAAGATGAAGGCTAACCGGACGTAGTTCACGGTACGAATATGGGTTTTGATTTTTTGGGAGAGGAATAATCATTGCTTGCCTCCATGCTTTTGGAAAATATCCTTGTTCCAAACACAAATTAACAATATGTAGTACGTATACATCAATAACATTTAAACACATTTTTAATATTTATAAGTTTATATAATCGCTGCCTCTAGCATTAGATTTGATATTTTGAAGTATTTTGTAAAAAGTATCAATATTGACTGGTTTAAAGTGAAATTTGATAGTTTTATTATACTTACCATTTCTGTATGTTGCTATTGAACTAAAACAGCTAGCACAAAAACATCCCATCTACGTTAATAAGCTTCAATTTTAGGCTCTTTAAGCTCACATGCGATTTACTTTTAATGTAACCCTAATATCCCTGCAACCACCGAATGTCCGCAACGGCTAGACTTTTATAGCACATCTCACAGAGGTTACAAAGTGAAGTTCGGAAAACATCACACTAGCACTTTTAAGGTACTTACCCTGAAAGTTGCTCTGAAGCTTTCTATAGATGTTATAATGTGAATTAGTTCTACAGCATTATACAGTGTGTTCACGGATGGACTTAACTATACTTGTGAAAATATTTATTTTAAATTAAAAAAGTAATTCTTCATAATTTCCTTTACTTGTTAAATAAATTCGATTCACATTGAGAAATTATGAAAAATAACTTTTTTTAATTTCCATTCACTGTTGGGTTCTAATTAACAGTGCTGTTCCTAAAGTGGCGCTGGGAAACAGTAACAAAGCCTACACAGAACACGAGGCGAAATAACCCTGGTAGTTGAAGCCGATGACACACCAAAAAAAAATATTTTTACACGTATAATTAAGTCCATCCTTGGACATACTATATTGTTCTTTGTGTAATGTAATACAGAGTGGCTGAAATTGAGGTATAGTAAAAACCACTGATCTGGTAAAAACTCAATCGAGACATGGAAATTTCAAATAAAAACAAAATATTTATATAAATTTATTAAAATGTTCTTGAAATCAAGTAGTAATATCACAAACGCAGTTACACATGTACGATAGTAGAAGCCACCTATAAAGCACTGGTTCACTAGAAGCTTAAACAGTGAACGATTGTACAAAAGTATATTTATATAAGGTACGTTTCAAGATGTTTCATGATGCTAAAAAAAAACTGGAAAAATGGAAAAATGGAAAAATGGAAAACTGGAAAAATGGAAAAATGGAAAAATGGAAAAATGGAAAAATGGAAAAATGGAAAAATGGAAAAATGAAAAAATGGAAAAATGGAAAAATGGTAAAATGGAAAAATGAAAAAATGGAAAAATGGAAAAATGAAAAAATGGAAAAATGGAAAAATTGCAAAAATTGCAAAAATTGAAAAATTAGTTAGTCACCTATGTTTAATAAAAACTTTCCATTCTACACTTAACTT